AATTCAATATTGTCTGGTGTTAGACTTCAAATTGTCTTTAGAAATTTCAAGGTAGGTTGTAAACCTATTAAGTGTTAGACTTGAAGTTGTCTTTTGAAATTTAAAGCTTAAGTTGTGAAAGTATGGTTAGTAAACATTTAGCTAGTTTATAGTTAGTTTATTTGGTTAGGTAATGAGCTTCTTGTATTCATATAATGATAGTTTGATAGGATGAACTTGTTAAAAAAGAAAAATACTCAAGTTTATCTCATTAGTTTTGTAGAAATTATTCAAAAAAACCATGTGAATATTATATATCAACTGAGTACCAACCATTTGTATTATATCAACTGGTTTCAACCACTAATCATAAGTAATCAAGTATAAACTCAAAAGTTACTTACCCATTAGCTAATTTTCCAGCTAAATTAGGTCATGCATTAACTATTTAGGATCTCATTTCACAAAAAATGTGATATTAAAATTAGGTCATGTCCAATAGGATCGAGCAATGGTAAATTGGGGTCATGCCCGAGGAGTGAGCAATATGTCATTCGGAGCAAAACCGCATCGAATCATAATAACCAAAAAAATTAAGCTTATCAAAAGAAATAACGAACCACATCACAACATAGAACAAAACCGATCTGAAACTTTTGTAAACCAAAATAAGCAAACCGCACAAGATAGTACCAAAATGCGTGGCTCAGCTCAATTGTTGGTTTTGCAACAATTTTTTTATGTATTTATATTTAATTTGGTGCAATCAGTGAATAATCGAAACAAAAAAAAAAAAACAAAAATTAAATTCGTGAAAAATAATAACTGAACTACACTACAATGTAGTAAAAAGTCGAATCAAAATTTTTCTACACTTGATAAATCGAATTGAACCGGTTGTATAGTTTGGCTCGGTTATTCTACGCCACTCCGCCCCAAATCCCCTACCACAGATTTGGGCCATATGACTTCAAATTTGGAAGTGAACGTCAATGTCTTGGCCCACTACCAACTATTAGACCAAATCCAGAAGGCCCAGTAGAGCTTCAAACTGGACCCCGTACCTGGGATGATTCACCAATCACAAATTTAGTAGCCCAATTACCGAAAAGTCACATCTAAAAACCAACTACGTAACCAGCACAACAAGGGTAAAAACGTAATCTAACCTGTCAGTCTCCTCTCTTCTCGGTCGCCCCCTTTCTTCGAGACTTGAGGGCCACGAAAAGGAAAACCTGCAACTCCGTCAAAAACGACGTCGTAGGTCCGAAACTTTAGAGCACTCTCTGTATAAGCTGTCTCAGCACGAACACGACGACGACAACGAAAAAGGGTTCAATTGAGCAGAAATTTCATGCGCTGATCTTAAACGGAAAAAAATCATGTTGTCTCGAATCGGACGCTCGGCGTATCGCTCATCGCGCGCGTCGACGAATAAAGTAAAAATAAATAAAAATTCTCGTAATTCACTTGCGTTTATCATTTTTTGCAGGTAATGGCGACGTTTTTATGGTGTTTTCTTTTATGTGATTTGTTCTGTTAGGGCGCTCTGTCGGGCAGTTACGGGCTGCGGTCGTCGGCCTTGACGGAACTTTCGTCGGGAAATGCGGCGGAAACCGGTGGGCTAGGGTCAGTGAGGAGCTACCTGACGTCAATTGGAGCTGGTAAGCACGTCTCGAGGAGTGATTTGTTACATGAATTCAAGTCTGTGTTTAGAAACGCTGGGCTGCGGAGGACGTTCTGCAGTGAGGCCCCGAAGAAAAAGAGTAAGAAAGATTGCATTTTTTTGTCTTGTCCATTCTTGTTGTGATATCCGAGGTGTTGTGGTTTTGGAGGTTTGATTTGGTTTTTTCTATTTATTGTATTGTAGAATATGAAAACTACTATCCGAAGAACAAGTCTGAAATTCCGAAGGAGAATAATCAAAAGTCGGGGGCCAAAGGTAATGGGGCTTCCCACCTTTCATGCTGAAATGCTTCATTTCTTGGGGTACTTAGTGACAGATGCTATAGTGCCTTAGTTAAGCTGAGTTCGATTCCTTTCTGCCGTGAATGGACGATAAAATATCCTTCCGCCGTTATTTGCTTAAATGTTTCTATTTATTTATTTTTTTATTGTGATCTTTTCTGAAACCAGAGGACTCGGGAGCAGGTGAGCAGTGGAACAATCCAGAAATGTCAAGGCAAATTCAAACTTTAATTGTTCCCGCATTGTTGGTTGGGTTTGGGCTTCAATTAATATTCAGTCATCCTAATGACGTGAAGCCGGTGAGTTTCTTATACTCCACATTCTTTCTCAGAGTTTCGATTTTAGCACTTACCCACACGTATCAATTGCACAAAGACTTGAGGAGAAATGACTTTAGGGGAACATTTTTGGGTGATTCAAGTGAATGCCTTTTGTCTTTGTACCATATTAACATATATTGAACCATGAGACAGGTTTAGCTATTGTTGTGTGGAGAGAATTTATTGTTATTCATTGGGTGTCATGAGGTCATATCTCATAAGTGTCAGTTTTAGTGCCATTCCTTTTATCATTCTCTTTTTTTCTGGTTCCATTTTTTCCCCCTCTTTTTAACAAGTATCGAAGTCCAGTACTACTTTCATTTGTAATTGCCTCACTCACATTACAGATGGGTGTTGCGGTACAAAATATACTGCATTTTAAACAAAAAGATGTCAAATTCGGTAATGGGGAAAGTAAGATAGCAACATGCACAGTTGGATCTGATTTTATTATGCATTCATGAGTATTCATATTATGAGTAATGCAATAGAGCCAACATGAATGAAAACTTGAGTTACAACTCAAGTGTAAATGCATTATTTTGTCACTTTTTTATATTACATTTACATTTACATTTGGGTTGTAACTCAAGTTGTCATCCAAGCAAACTAAATAACATTACTCTCATATTATTACCCTTTTCTTTTTTTTGTGGCTTTTTTTTTCGGAATACTTGATTAGATCTTTACTTGTACTTCAGATAAGTTTCCAAGAATTCAAGACCAAGCTACTCGAACCTGGCCTGGTGGATCACATAATTGTTTCGAACAAGTCAGTTGCAAAAGTATACATAAAAAATTCACAACCTAATGGCGACTCAACCATAGTGGACACCATTCAGGATCCAGTCGGTCAAACGAATGACAAAAGTACCCCTAGCCATTACAAATACTATATCAACATTGGAAGTGTGGAATCATTTGAGGAGAAGCTGGAGGAAGCCCAGGAAACATTAGGAGTTGACCATCACGATCATATCCCGGTCACTTATGTTTCTGAGCTGAATTTTTTCAAAGAACTCATGAAGTATGGTCCTACATTATTGCTTTTACTAGGTATGTATTACATCGGAAGGAGAAGTGGGATTGGTGTCGGTGGACCCAGCATGAAGGGCGGCCGTGGAATCTTCAATATCGGAAAAGCTCACGTCACGAAATTGGATAAAAGCTCCAAGGATAAGGTCAGCATGATTTAGTCTTTGTGCTCAATTTAATTAGAGGCAGATTGAAGCTATGTTTGGTAAAACTAGTTGATAGCTTTTAAGTGATTTTTGATGTTATAGCTTATAGTTGAAAAGCTAGTTTATATAATAATAGTGTTTGGTAAAATTAGCTGCGAAGCTAGCTGAAATAAAAATTTCAACGAGCTTATTTGAAATGCTACCCAAAGAAGCTTATGAGATAAACTTGAGTTTTTTTAAAAAGTTTGTCCTACCAAACGAAGCTTATTTAAATGCAGGAAGCTTATAAACTAACCAAATAAGCTATAAGCTAGCTTATTTGGTTACCAAATATAATGTGAATCCTTCGCAGTCCCCAAAGATAAGTAAAAGCATTAAAAAGAATCCTAAAGAAACGAAAAATAACTAAAAACCCTGTTTAAAAAAAAAAAGTTAGTTTCACCTTTTGGCTTAATCACCATCATTTTTTTTTTAAATTTGACGATCAGGTCTTTTTCAAAGATGTAGCCGGCTGTGACGAGGCGAAACAAGAAATCATGGAATTCGTGCACTTCCTGCAAAACCCCAAGAAGTACGAGGAGCTAGGCGCAAAAATCCCAAAAGGCGCCCTCCTTGTGGGCCCACCCGGAACCGGGAAAACCCTTCTCGCCAAGGCAACTGCCGGCGAATCCGGAGTGCCCTTCCTCTCCATATCCGGCTCGGATTTCATGGAGATGTTTGTCGGTGTGGGGCCCGCAAGGGTCCGGAGCCTATTCCAGGAGGCTCGACAGTGTGCTCCGAGCATAGTCTTCATCGACGAAATAGACGCCATAGGCCGAGCTCGTGGCCGTGGGGCTTTTTCCGGTGGGAATGACGAGCGTGAAAGCACGCTGAATCAGCTTCTCGTCGAGATGGATGGATTCGGGACAACTTCTGGTGTGGTTGTACTTGCAGGTACAAACCGGCCCGATATATTGGACAAGGCCTTGTTGAGGCCCGGGAGGTTTGATCGTCAGATTACGATCGACAAACCCGATATTAAGGGAAGGGATCAGATTTTCTGTATCTATCTGAATAAGCTAAAGCTTGACCAGGAGCCTTTGTACTATTCGCAGAGGCTTGCAGCTCTCACTCCTGGGTTTGCCGGGGCCGATATTGCTAATGTGTGTAATGAAGCGGCCTTAATTGCTGCCAGGACCGAGAGCCCGATAATCACGATGCAGCATTTCGAGTCGGCTATTGATCGAGTGATCGGAGGCCTCGAGAAGAAGAACAAGGTAACCCCGTTCTGTTTCTTCAAATTTTTGTGTGGTTGTGTGTAGTGCTATTAAATTAAACGAGTCTGGCTCGGCTCGAGCTCGTTAAGGCTCGGCTCGTTTGATAAACGAGTCGATGAGCTCGAGCTCATTTAAAGCTTGTTTGATTAACTACCCGAGCAGCTCGAAAATATAATTTTTTATACAATTTTATATAGTTGGTTCATTAAAGTTCGAGATCGACTCAAACTCGGCTCGTTATGAATGGTAAACGAGCCAAGCTTGAGCTCGATTATCAGGCTCGTTTACAGGCCTAGTTGTGTGACTCTAGATGTTGAAGGATGGCTGTGATTTTCTCCAATCATATGGTTTCTCTCATTCTTGGAAGAATCTTGGTAGTCCGTCAGGGTGTGTTTGTTTGTTAAAAAACTCAATTCATATTTAATCCATATTTAAATTCTAACTCAATTTTAACTCAACCCAACTATCCTCAATTTATCAATATAATTAAATAATACCGATCAATCATTCTTACACATCACATCAATTTTAATTCATTATCCATTCAGTTAAATAACTAACCATCACTTCACATCATCTCTCTCATACTTTTTACATCAAACCAACTTTAATTATTTTATTTTAAATATTATTTTAATATAAACACAAAATTCCAGTAACAACTAACTATATCATATTTTTTAAATTGACCCTAGTTAACAAAAAAATAAAAAATAAAAAAAAAATAAATAAATAAAAACTCGTTTTAAGTGAATATATTTATATCTAAGCACGCCCTTAGTAAGAAATGATAATAATGTGATAGATAGTAAAAAGTAACTTGGAGCTATTGGTTTTGTTTCGTCTAGGTTATCAGCAAGATGGAGAGGCGGACTGTAGCTTACCACGAATCTGGACATGCCGTTGTCGGCTGGTTTCTAGAACATGCCGAGCCGTTGCTTAAAGTCACGATCGTCCCTCGTGGGACCGCAGCACTCGGTTTCGCTCAGTATGTTCCGAACGAAAACCTTCTCATGACCAAAGAGCAGCTCTTTGACATGACATGCATGACCCTCGGCGGCCGTGCCTCTGAGCAGGTAAAATTTCGAATCATCTATATATATCATTTTTCAAAACAAAACAAAAAAAATAAAAAAAAAAAAATTAATGAATCATCTCCTACACTTCTAAGTTCTAACAGAGGAACAAAAACTGTTAAGGCTGTGTTTTGTAAGCATATAAGCTAGCTTATAACTTATTTGATTAGCTTATAAGCTTCATGTATTCAAATAATCTTGATTTGGTAGGACGAACTATTTTAAAAGGCTCAAGCTTATCTCATAAGCTTCCTTGGGTAGCTTTTCAAATAAGCCCATTGAAATTTTTATTTCAACTAGTTTATCAGCTAATTTTGCCAAACATTTTTATCATATAAGCTAACTTTTCAGCCATAAGTCATAAGCTCTCAGCTATAAGCTCAAAATTCACTTAAAAGTTATAAACTATCTTATCAGCTATAACCTAGCTTACCAGCTACATAGTGTAAATTTGATTATTTACAAATTTTATTTTGATCCAGGTCTTACTGGGAAAAATATCAACGGGGGCCCAAAACGATCTGGAGAAGGTGACCAAGATGACGTACGCACAGGTGGCAATATACGGGTTCAGTGAGAAAGTGGGCCTGTTATCCTTCCCCCAAAGGGATGATGGGCTTGAGATGGGAAAGCCCTATAGCAGCAAAACTGCCGCAATCATAGACAATGAGGTCCGTGAATGGGTCGGTAAAGCTTACACCCGTACAGTCCAGCTCATAGAGGAGCACAAGGATCATGTGGCCCAAATTGCCGAGCTTCTGCTCGAGAAAGAGGTCTTGCATCAGGATGACTTGGTCCGTGTATTGGGCCAACGCCCGTTTAAATCAAGTGAGCCCACGAATTACGACAGGTTCAAACAAGGGTTTGAGGAGGAAAGTGGAGATAGTAGGAAAGCTGCAGACGATAGTAATGAAGGTTCGGGTCAACTGGAGCCGGACATCGTTCCTGCTTGATTGTTTTGTGGGTGTGTTTAATTATTTGTAAAAGGGTTTTCTTTTTTTGTTTTTGGTCCTTTTGGGTCAGGTGAGCTGGTTCGTGGTTTCTTGCTTGATGATGCTGATAACAGAAATCGTTTTCGTTCCCTGTTGTTGTGAGGCTGATGCCCAGTTGGACTTATTTGAAATAAGCTAATGGTTAGAATGTACAAGTGAGTTGATCTCGAGCTTTTTGGTTTATTCCGTAGTCTCTTTCTTGCTTGTGATGGGTTTTGGCTTGGATTTGGTGAGTAGACAGTGGCTAACATGTGTGNCACGCAGTTGTTTTAGAAGTGAGATGTTGGTCCATAGGTGTTCAAACTCGGCCTTTGAGATTCATCTCATTTTGATTGCACATACTAATATCATTTTATTAGTAGTCTTGTGTTAGGTTGGCCTAATCGTTAGGTCAGGTATAACATTTTCATTAAAAAATGTCATATTTTGAATAACTATAAATAGAAATATGACAAAGTATGACATTTGATAGTATAAGTATGAATTTTTGTTAGAGTATGATAGGTCGATCTTCCTAACACTTAAATTTATTGAAGTAAAAAATTGTACATTCTAAATATTGTAGACTTTAAAGTGTCTTTTGGATTTCATTATTACCACAAGAATTGGTAATTGCCTCCTTTCAATGTTAATAATCTACTTATAAAAAATTCTACTAATTGCCTTAGGTCGACATATTTTTTTTTAGAAATGTACAAATTTTCGTTATAAAATGTCATGTATTTTATTATAATAGATCGACTCGTCTAATAGTTACACCGATATGCCGGAATAATTTCTGAAAAAATTATTACATTGCTGTCAAAACAAATTATTACTTAGAGGCATAGAGATAAGGTGATTGGTCATGGTGAAATCTGAAATGGATAAGAAAATCAGAGCCCAAAACCTTATGATATGCCAACGTCTATAATACTGTGACTGTGAGAGACGATCCCTCATTTTTTATTTTTTCTTTGATAACCTCCAAGATTTTTGCAGGCCTCGAAGGTTCTTTTCTATCCGTCGACGGCCGGTAAACGGAATTTTCGCCGGGTAAGTAGCGTTTGGCCATGACACGTGTCCCATTCACGGCGTCATGTCAAAATCCCACCAAATGCTGTCTATTTAACAGAATAAAAATCGGCACCACTAAAAATTCAGAAATTTCTACTATTTTCACCCTTTCATTTTCTCCGCCCGTCACGAAAGCTAAAAACTTCAGGCGAATTTCAGTGGTTGCTATGTCGGACTTGAGCAAAAGCACCGTTCTTGTCACCGGCGCCGGCGGTAGAACCGGTTAAAATTCAGTCTTGAACACTTTTTTAAGCCTTTTTTTTTATTTTTGCTCTCTAAATTGTTGGCATTCTGCAAATGTGTGTGTGCGGTTTGTGGGTTTTGATGTTTGAGCTATGGTGTTCGAGATCAATTCAGCTGATCTTTATGTGGATGGTTGATGGATGTTCTTTTTGGGTTTTGAAACTTAATCAATCATTGTCTGAGGACCTGAATTGTTTTTGGATTATATTGTGAAAATTTAGGAACATCAAACGAAATTATAGGTTTATATGCCGATTTCTGCAGGTAGCTTAAGGTCACTTGCCAACAAATTTAAGAGTTTTTTTGTTCACAAATTATTGTGTGAGACGGTCTAACGACCGTCTAACGGTTAGGTCCGCCTAACAACAACCTTTCTAATGTTTGTAAAGAAGATGAGAAATCTAGAGTCATTTTCTGATTAGCATCCCTTCTTTCTCATTTCCTAAGGTTCCTGCACTTCTATTAGTTACTTTCTGAACATGTATTTGTAATTTATTGTTTTTCACTCTTCTTTAACTTGAATTTATTCTCTCGTTCCACACTTTATTTTTGCATCAGTTGTCTTACAGTTGTCTTAGAGTGTGTTTGATAAGCACAATAAGCTAACTTATAACTTATTTGGTTAGCTTATAAGTTTTCTATATACAAATAAGCTTGGTTTGGAAGGACTAGCTTCTTTAAACAGTTCGAACTTATCTCTTTCAAATAAGCGAAGCTGCTTATCAGCTAATTTTACCACACTTTTATAATATCAGCTAACTTTTCGGCCATAATCTATCAGCTATAAGCACAAAATTCACTTATAAGCTATCAACTAACTTATCAGTTATCAGCCAGTTTTACCAAACATAGTCTTGGCTTTAGCTTTCCTGCCAGCACAGTTATGTGAAGCGTGTAAAATGTCCAAAAAAAAAATCCTCCCAACACAATCATGTAATTTGCTCGACTTTTGCAGGCCAAATTGTTTACAAGAAGCTCAAGGAGAGGTCGGACCAGTACACTGCTCGAGGCTTTGTGAGAACTCAAGAGAGCAAAGAAAAAATCGGTGGAGAAGATGATGTTTACATTGGGGACATAAGGAATAGCGACACGTTAGTTTCGCCCATTCAAGGTATAGATGCTCTTGTTATACTCACGAGTGCTGTCCCCAAAATGAAGCCCGGGTTTGACCCGACCAAAGGCGGGCGGCCCGAATTCTATTTTGAAGACGGTGAATTCCCTGAACAGGTTTTATACCATAGCCCTATTGGTGGTTTGTTTCATTTATGTTTGTTTAATCTTAGTTTAGTTAATGTTATGTTGTCTCTTTGGTTTTTCTTAGGTCGATTGGATTGGGCAGAAGAACCAAATAGATGCTGGTAAGAACTTAAAAAGTGAAATTATGGATTCTTATGCAAAATTCTTGATTTTGATCTTAGACTAATAAATCGACATTAGAGATCAAAATACCAAATTCTTACTAAGAATTTGAAAAGAAATTCTAAAACTAAAAAAAAAATGTTTGTTTTATGATTCCAGAATAAAATCCACCAAATTATCT